AAAGAAAATATTCGCAATGTCCTTGATATTTTGGAATATTATGAGATAAATCATCAAAAAGAATTCGCTATTAGCAATAGATGCCGAAAAAGCTTTTGACAATCTGAATTGGGATTTTTTCAAGATATTAATACAAGAATTGGATATGGGAGAAAAATTTAACAATGCAATTAACGCTATTTATAATTATCAAAAAGCCAAAGTGAAAATAAATGGACAATTGACACAAGAATTAGAAATTGTGAAGGGCACTAGACAAGGATGCCCATTATCCCCATTGATTTTTATAATGGCTATGGAGATCCTAATGAAGAAAATCAGAGAAGATGAAAATATAAAAGGAGCGAAAATCGGCAAATTCGAATATAAAATACGGGCGTTTGCAGATGATTTGTTAGGAACAATTGAAGACCCGGACAAAAATTTACAACATTGGATAACGAAAATAGAGCAATTTGGAAAAGTGGCTGGATTCAAAATGAATATGAAGAAGACAAAACTGTTATTTAAAAATGTGAAAAAGGAGAGACAAATAAAGATTCAACAACAACTGGGGATAGAGAGTGTAAAGAAAATTAAATATTTAGGAGTCTGGATTACCGCGAGAAACTGCCAACTCTTGAAGAATAACTATGAAATAGTTTGGAATAAAATTCAAAAGGATTTACAAAAATGGAATTACTTAAATCTATCACTCCTGGGTAGAATATCATTAATAAAGATGAACGTTCTTCCAAGACTTATGTTCCTATTCCAAAATATACCGGTAATAAGAAATCAAACTTTGTTTAAAAAATGGAAGAAAGATTTACTTAAATTTATTTGGAAAGGGAAAAGGCCAAGGATTAATTATATAAACTTAATTGATAGAAAAACGAGAGGAGGTCTGGGATTTCCAGACTTGAAAACTTATCATGAGGCTTGTGCTCTATCATGGATAAGAGATTGGATGAATCTGAATAAAGAAAAGTGCTTAAATCTAGAGGGCCACGATTTGAGGGTAGGCTGGCACGCTTATGTGTGGTATAATAGAGAATCCAAGGAAAAAAACTTTGGAAATCATTTCGTGCGAGCCTCCCTATTGAGGACATGGTTAAGATACAAAGCCCTCTTTTATACAGTTACACCTCTTTGGGTCTCGGCGATGGAGGCCCATCAAAGAAGACTCCTTGGATGGAGGATTTGGCCAAGATACAAGGATATTCTGTTGAAAGGGGAAATGAAGATTAAATCGTTTGAACAACTCAAGAATATGTTTGGAAATATAACCTGGTTACACTATCTTCAAATTAAAGAGCATTTTAAACAAGATCAAAAAATTGGATTTGACTGGGAAGAAAACACATGGGACAAAATTTTAAAAACTGAGAAGAAGGTAGTCACAATACTTTAAAATAAATTGGTCCAATGGCTTACGGAAACTGAACAGGTGAAAACATGTATGATTAAGTGGGCTGAAAATTTAAGACGGCCCATTCAATTTAGAGAATGGGAACAAATGTGGAATAAAAAGTTGAAATATACTTATGCCATGGACTTGAAGGAAAATTGGTATAAAATGTTTTATAGATGGTATCTGACTCCGAAAAAATTAAGCCATATGTACCCAAATGTCTCAGATAAGTGTTGGAAATGTGGAGAACAAACGGGCACATTCTTCCACATGTGGTGGACGTGCAAAGAAACAACTAAGTTCTGGGCATCTATACATGAAGAAATACAAAAGATACTGAAGAGAAGGTTTAGAAAGAAACCTGAATATTATTTATTAGGATTTACGGACTCTGACCTTAAAGTAGAGGAAAATGAAGATAAATTATTCACGTACTTTACCACTGCGGCAAGAATTATTTTTGCCAAATTTTGGAAAAATGAACAGATACCTACTGTTGAAGAATGGTTGGAGAAAGTCAAAGAAATTAGAGACATGGACGAATTGACATTTTTAATGAGAAGAAATACCGGGAAACCGCTAAAGAGAACAGACTGGACTTCTTTTTATGATTATGAAAAGAAATTTAGAAAAATATTAGAGGATAAGAATAGACAAGAGTAGAAGAAGTTGATGGAAAAGATCCTGATGTTGGAGTGGAAGTCATTTTAGAATAGTTTAGGTTAGTTTAGTCTTTTTTTTTGTCGTTTTTTTTGTCCTTTTTTTCTTTTTTCCTACTTTTCTATTTTCTTCTTATTGTTCCCCCTCTTTCGTTGTCCTGTTTTATAAAATATTTAATAAAAATCATTTAAAAAAAAAAAAAGGATTCATGTGATTGCCGCAAACGATTACCATGCCTGCCCACTAATTCTAGGGGCCATAGTCCACAATGTAATTTTTTTTTCAAGCTCTGGAAAATAGGATCTACATTTGCTCCTAACATGAAGGTTGATATCAAATGCATGCTCCATATCACATTGAAGCTGAGAGAGCATGACCAACAGCATGAAATGATTAACAGCCTGTACTAAGCAGGACTTTTATCAAACTCTCATTATTTTCATAGATTTATTGGATATTTCACCGATACTTGATTAAAATACAGCATGAACCCTAAATATTGCCACATTTGGTCTGGCCAGACCTGTTTTTTGATGGCATCCATAGTCATATTGTTGCACGCATGGATCCTAGAAAACCACCTCCTATGCCCACATGAATGATCAGCTACTTGATAGGGACTTGCTAAATAAAGAGTTTCTGCAAATGGTAGTGCTGATAATTTTGTTCAAAGCTTCCTCTCCAACATATTAGTTATGTGTGCACTAATATGTAAAAGAAATCCATTTCGAAGTAGCATGACCCAGCAAAAGCACCACCATCTGAAAGATTAAATCATTTGATTTTAATCTCCTGCTATTTGAGAACTCACTTTAGAGGAGAATGAGGTACTTCAACAGACACTAAAGCAATTAAACAAATATTTCTCTAAGATAAATAAACATATAGTAGGTTTATAGCTATATCTTAGATTTATTATCTACCTACAGAAAAAAGAGAGCAAGAACTTCAAAAACTATAACGTATATCCCACCTATCAACAGCGGCTAGCAACTTATTATTCATAGGTTATTTATACAACCTTGTAAATCTTTCCTTTTCACATTTGCAATCATAGTACCATTGTAAAAGACCCCCAAACCCACCATATAATTTAGCCTGGGATAGTCTTCTGTGGGGCTGCTGAGCAGGTGCTGAAATGTAACACAACCAGCCCTCTCCTGCCAGCAAGCTGCAGTGGGGCAAGGAGATGAGACACAACATTGGAGAGGTGCCTGCTTCTGATCCTTGCACTGCAGCTCACTTGTGGGCATCATTCCCCACTTGCCAGCTCTGCAGCGCTCCGTGGATTTTACGATGGATATTGAGGGTCAGATCAGAACACAGACAGCCACATCTACTGATGTGCTGTGAGACCTTAACCAGTATAGTAAATACGAGATCTCAATAACTTATCTTTGCAAAAGATAACTACAGAAGAAAACAGGTGTGTTAATAAAATGGTTTTGATTACCTATCAATCCTTTTATTCCACAGTTTCTTAAGTCCTTTGTTCTTGAGGCCTTCCAAGATGAATAGATGAATGGACCCATCCATTATGTGAAATCCAGTAATAATATCCAATTGAGAAATGTCTTCATAAGGAAGTTTATGGTCTAGTTTCAAAGTATTGAGAGATCTTAGAATTATGGGCACGGGATAAGGATCAAGCTGCAGAGCTTCCGCATTAATTTTTGTAATCTCCTCCAGCAAGTAACTTAAGAGTGATGTATTTTTATAGTCAAAAATATAGATGATGCAACCATAGGGGCAATGTGTGGTTTCGGAGTCATCTAAGTCATCCTCTGGACTTAACGGTATAGTTATTTCAACCCTCACTTTAAGGTGTGACTCTGCATTCACGTAATGGCCCATCGGTAACTGGATAACTTGGGAGCCATCTCCTCCCTTATCCTTCTCAGCAATATTTTCTCCCTGGCAAACAGTGGTATCCTGGACTGAGCAGTTCTGAATGGGTACAATGAAATTCAAGGTCTTCTCACCCAGCAGTAAGTCAACCAGGCTGATTCTTGCTACCCCATAAGGATGCCAAATCTCTTCTGAAACAGAACTCTTAAGCATGTATCTAAAACTGATGTTGTTGAAACTCAAACTACTGATTTTGCTGTCTCCTGGCTCCTCACCAAACAAAGAAGGCTTTGATTTGATTGCTTCCATTTTCTTGTCTCGGTCATGAACTTCAATTTCCAGAGGTGGCCCTCTGAGATATTCACTCAGTTCTCCAGGTTTTAATGTGCCTATCAGAATCACATTCATATCCTTAAAGAAGACTTCAGTTCCATGATCTCGACCCTGAGTTTGATGGGGAGGCATGTTATGGAATTTGTATTTGCAATAAACAGGAACACATGACTTCTGCCAAAAAGAGAAAGAATATTATTTTGTAAATACTTTGGTTATTTAAATCACCTCCCTGCCTCTACATTCAAAATAAAACCCTGCTTTTCTACAAGTAGGTCAATTACTTTGCAATAAACAGCTACAAATAGTAATAGTACATTGCCACTACTGTGCAAAAACGCAGCTAAAACGTCAAAAACTTTATTAAGGAGAAGTTTGCTGAAATCAAATTGGCAGCTAGAGAGACTAAACACAGGCCTCATCTACACTGCCGTACAATGCAGTTTCATAATGAAGTTTAAGTACATTGAACTGCATTATATGGCAGGGTAGACTCGTATAATGCGGTTCAGCTGCATAATGAAACTGCGTTCTATGGCAGTGTAGATGAGGCCACAGAGACCACAAGCAGTGGCTCCACATCTCACGCTGAGAAAAACTCAACTGAAAAAGTCCCTCTTGAATTTCATACCCATTCTTCATACCTACTGCCAATACAACATGGTAGGCCTCCACAGGAAATAAAAACATTTCACATAGGAACAGTCATTATGCAGTTGGCTGGTCACAACATACATAATTTGTCTCATCTCTGGTTATATTTGGAGGCTACAATTTCTTTTAGTTCTGAAGATTATTATCAGGAAAAACAGACACAGTAGTAATGTGAGTCCACGTTCCTCTTGAACCCGGTGTTAAGCACACCATCAATTACTGTAGTCTTCTGGATCTCATACCTAAGACAGCATTGAGTGCCTCTGCCAATATCTGATACATGAACTTCAAAAGTGAATGATGAGAAACGTCTGCTTAACTCCATTATATTTATGTCACGGAGTGTCACAAAGTTCTACACTGTCTTGTCTTGATACCTATTTATGGGTTGGTCTCTCAGGTAAAAAAAAAAATCAATTTCTTTATTCATGGTTTTTCCCATTCACGGGAGTCCTGGGATCCTAACCCCAGTGAATGTGAAGGGCTGACTGTCACTCTTTATAAATCAAAACCCACAAATTAGAAAAGCCCATTTTGCTCTTTTCTCTGAGAATGGCACTTGTTACTTAGATAAGCAGAACCAAAAGGAAGAATGCTCTGAATTACCTGCAACACTTCAATTGGAACAGGAGTGGCTGGTAAGCCCCTTGCTGACTTAATCTTGATTATCAGTGGGTTCAATTCTCGTTTCTGTTTCTCGGTCAAGAGTGCCTTATCCACTGAGAAGCTTATGTATGCATCAAAAATTTTAAAGGACTTCTCTCTCAGTTGACTTGCCACATAGCATTCTCCTGGAAGAGGAGCAGGGGAAATGAATGTATATAATGACTGCAGAAACAGCTGTGCTTTAAAAGCATGATGTTCTGCATCCCTGTTGAGCAGCATGTTTTCCAGATGGATCACACCAACACTGTGGCCACTTCAGCAACTTAAGCAAGTGACAAGAAGCTTAAAAATGAGGAAAGCAAAAACAAAACTGCTAAGCTCTGCATTGCTCTTACCAACCCAGATAGTGTTGCAAAGAAGAACTGTTCCAAGAAGCAATAAACAGAAATAACAACAAAAGAACAACATTAAATACCATGCCTTGGGGTGCTATGTGTTTTGATTTGTTGTTTTTTTAAAAAAAAAATCTGTTCATTAGATTCAAATCAATTTGTAAAAGGAATTGCTTGGAAACCACCACATATTTGACTTCATGTGACCATTTCTTTTAATTCAACAAACACTGCATACTGTCTTAATGAGTTCCACTGTTCCTTATACTTAGCTTATGGCATTTGGTCTGTCTTGCCTTTCAGCAGATTGGAACAATTCCCTACCCTTGTCCAATTTTCACAATATCCCCGAGAAGGACTTGAGACCGAAAACGATTAATCTAGAATCAAATAGCATGTTCATGGTTAAATAGGTTCAATTTTACACATAAATGTTTCCATGTATGGACCAACTCTCAACTGCTGTACCACAATGACTGTTGGACACTGAATATCAAAGCAGGCTCAAGGCTCCAATCAGCAATAAGGTTTTGTCGAAGGCTTTCATGGCCAGAAGCACTGGGTTGTTGTAAGTTTTTCGTGCTGTGTGGACATGTTCTAGAAGCATTCTCTCCTAATGTTTCATCTACATCTGTGGCAGGCATCCTCAGAGGTTATAAGGTCTGTTGGAAACTAGAAAAAAAATAGGTTTATATATCTGTGTAAAGTCCAGGGTGGAAAAAAGAACTCTTGGCTGTTGGAGCTAGGTGTGAATGTTTCAATTGGCCACCTTGATTAGCATTTGATGGCCTGACAGTTTTTAGGTATGGCTTGTTCCTGCCTAGGGGAATCCTTTGTTGAGAGATGATTAACTGATCCTGATTGTTTCTTGTCTGGAGTTCCCCTGTGTTTGAGTTTTCCAAGTTTCCAACAGACCTCACAACCTCTGAGGATGCCTGCCACAAATGCAGGTGAAATGTCAGGAGATAATGCTTCTAGAACATGGCTACACAGCCCGAAAAACCTGCAACAACCCAGTGATTCCGGCCATGATAGCTTTCGACAAAACCTTATTGCTGATTGGAGTCTTGAGGTTGCTTTGATATCCACACAGAGCTTCTGGACTCCCTGTTGAAAAGGCAGGAAGGCTGGGTAGGGAATTTCATCAATCAACATTCAGATCTCATGGCAATTTGGCCAATCCATATTAAGAGCCGTAGCAAACTACTGGAAGCGAGAGCAAACTTGTGTTCGAGCTCGCTCCGAAGCCCCGCCTTTTTTCCCCCGAGGCTGCTCTCTTTTGCTAGTGTGCCTGTTTTCTCTTGCTAGGGAAGCGATGCGAGTGTACTCTCGCAGTTGGCAGAATTCAACTGTGAGCGTATGCTCGCATCCCTGCCCTCAGCAATGGAAAACAGGCACGCTAGCAAGAGAGAGAGCAGCCTCGGGGGGGAAAAAGGCGGGGCTTCGGAGCAAGACCGAGTGCAAGCTTCCTGTAGTTTGCTGCGGCACGAGCGTATGCTCGCAACGCTGCCCTAGCAAAGGGAAATAGGCGGAGAAAGAGGCGGAGCATTGCTCGTGCTGGCTTAATTTGCTCTCGCAAAATCCTAGTTTGCTACGGCTCTTAGATCCCTTCACTGCTCTTGCTCACAACTGGGTCTGCACATTGTGAGTTACTTATGGCCACACATTCTTTTGTAAAATAAGAGTGTGTTCCAAAATTTATCATGTACTATAAATAAACTCTCTCTCCTCCTTCCTCCCATCCATTGAGGAAGAATAGCCAAGGGCACCCAGTATCAAGCACAAGTATGGAGACATGCAAGTCATTGGGAAAGTGTTGGTGCTAGGAACTGCTGTTGAATGATGTACTGACAGGAAGTTCCTCCAGATACCTTCCATCAGTGTAGATGTTTGCTCCTAGTGTATCCATACTGTTTGATTATACCTCCTCTTTTGCTGCCATTGGAGTACAGAATCACAGCCCTCTAGGAGAGTATTGTAACTGCTTCCTGAAACTACCAATCCCAAGATTACACAGGATACAGTCCTGGCAGTTAAAGCAATATCAAGAGTGAGTGAATCACCTTCTTACTACCAAAGCAATGCCTTTGATGAAGTTATGTAAATTTCTTCCCTAACATGACTAATACATATTGGATAAATTTGTACTGCCTAGACTTTTCCCATCCATCAAATCACTGTTCCTTAAAGAAAGCACTCCTCTAGGGCCACATTTGTCCTCACTTCATATTACAGTAGATGTTTTTATCATATACCACCCAATCCAGTTTTAAGTTTTATGTCTATAAGCATCTCCTCCCCCAGGTGTTTCATCTTTCAATAGTTTAGAAGTCACCATCAACTTTAATCTAGTCTTAATCCACATTTGCTATGACTTCTTTAACCATTTTAACCACTATGGCAGCTTTCAAGGAATTCCCAGAGTATCTTCCCATTCGATACCTGTTTAACAATCCTTCAGAACAGTGTGGTAACTGGAGAAAGGGGCCAGAGTCTGCTAAAAATGCCAAAATTGGAAAGTAAAGCTGCAGGTGGATAGAAAACCAATTCTGGTTTTGAAAAATTGAGAGGGGAGAGGGAGTACACACAAAGTGGAAGGATCCTGCAACTTAAAAAGTATATGGCCACTTTTGGGGGCAGGAAGGAGAGAAGATTCACTCTTCTATAAATGGGATACATTTCTGAGAGTGTGCATGGGTTAAGGACCATACACATTTCCCTGGCAGGGCACATGTGTCCCTAGGGCTGCCCTTTGGCTACCCTACTTCAGACATTCTCTCCTCCTTCCTCCTTCATGAATTCTCAGTCATCCCCTTCTAAAGAAGATATGTTCTGGATGTCATCAACTGAATAAAAAGGGAAGCTAGAATTTAAAAGGTTTGTCAAAGGCTAATTTCTGAAGGTGTCATCTGATTTGGATATTTCATAGGGCACCAGGAGGGGGAGCCTAAAGATCGGCAGGAGAAATGTTTCCAGAAGAGGTGGCAATTTGAAGGAACTGTCGTCTTAAAACGAACTTTGTCTATATGCAGCAGCAAAGGAAGGAGAATGCTAGAATGTTTTTAGTATGCATTGTGGCACCTCCTTTACAGACAGGCTTTAACTCCAAAACAATTGCATGGAAAAAGCTTGTAACTTTAAATATCAGTAGCTTTGGATGAATAAAATTAAACTGTATAGGAAAAAGAATGAAAGAAGCTCTGAATCTACCAGACAGCCATTCAATTAATTTATCATTGCCCTTGAAGCTTCAGCTTTAATTAAGAACAAAACATCAGGAAAGATGCAGCGGGAAGGTAATTTTGTATGCAAGGTGTCAACTAAACCAGCAAAACAGCATGCGTTCTCGGGGGACTGCTGCTGTTGCTATGTGCCCTTGCATTTCTAATGAAAGTGAACTTACCGCGAAATATTTTACCTCTCAGGCAATCTCTGCTGTTCAGCAAAGATGTCAAAAATAATGCACTCAAAGCTTGAAAACCTGTATGAGCTGAAACTGCTTAACAGCATAGCATGCTGGGGAAATACCCTGATTAAGCTTTTAACAATAGTCAAAACTCTCAAAACAATGTGTTCTACACATTGAAGAATGCTCTCTTTATCTCGAAAGCTTTTTCAAAGTGTTTTCTCTTTAAGCGACCATGTCTTGGCATGCAACCGTATGAAATGTTACTGCTGTCATTGTTCCTTATTGACTCTGCTCTACATATCAGCAGGACAAAATAAATGCAGAGCAATTGCCAACCATCTGCTTGTAGCTATGGTGGTTGGGAATTATAGGGTGCATGAGAATATATAGATGATCCTCCTATTCTAGTAAAAACATATATGAGGCAAGCCTACATTCAATGCCCACTGCTTAATCGGCGGTGGCGTGAAGCAATAGATTTTTTAACCCGCAGGCTTTTACTTTCTGTAAGCAAAACAAATTCAGACAATGAAACACTCCCCTGTCATTCCAATTTGTCAGCCATGTAATATATATTTATTTATTTATTTATTTATTTATTTATTTATTTATTTGTATTCCACCCTAACAACCTTTTTGTTAATATGTCAGATATCCCTTACTTAATAAGATCTCATTTACAAACTTTAACAAATACCAGAATGACTCATCTCAGAAACCATATTGCCTTTTTAAATATGACTTAGGATGGCATTTTAAACTATTCAAACATTTATTCATCTTCTGTCCTGGATAGATTGTTATTCCACAACTATATACACACTGTTCACTATAGAGTTCCTAATCTTTCTGATTAAGTCACAATTTAATTTTGAATTTCTGAGTTAAATTTCCTAATCCTGGCTCAGCTTTGTAATACTTTGTCATCAGCCAGCACTTAAAATTCACTTTTTTGTTTTCAACACACACATTTAACTATGAGAGCCCAGCAAGCTCCCAACACCACAAATGCTGAGTGAGTCCAGACAAATTGTGTCCACTAGGAAATAGTCTTCTAAATAACAGACCCATAGCTCTCCTCCCCACTATTCTAGCACCAATGCATCACTGCCACCTTCCTACCAAAACTCTCATCAGTCTTATCTAGACCTCAATATCCGTGATCTACCATCTGCACAGAATCTACACACTGCTGGCATTTACTGAATCATGAAGGGAACTGAAAATAACACTCAGCTTTACGTAAAAAGATCTGTCACATAAAAGCATAAAAGGTATCACCCCTCCTCTACCTCATGAGACCATCTGTCTTCAAGGCCTACTCACTAGGGGAAGAGAAAGGCAAGTATAATTTATTTCCTCAAGCTACAATAAGTGTGCTTCCACAGGCAAGATAGTTACTACTGAATTTGCACAAAAGGCCAGAACTATCTACACAAAGAGTCCCTTGGCTTGTTTCCTAATCCCAAACTATCAACATTTGTCATCAGGAAACCAGTAGGAAAGTTTTATGACCAAGAAGAAAGTCAATTATTTCTTTTTTGCCTCCTAGGGATTGATTACTAAACATAAACAACTATAAACAGGTGGACTGGAAAGGTGTTGCTCCTTTTTTCTCAGGATAGTAATTTTTGCAGGTTTATTTTCAAAGCTCCTCTGTTCCATCCAACAATTCACCATCACCTGTTCAACAAAAGAGCTATTAATCAGCTGTATTGTGACAACTATGAAACATCACCCAACTCTTGACATAGCATCAGGCATGATATCAGGCTTCTGCCAATTTGAATATATCATACCCACAACAGGAAACCTCTTGGGAAACCATATCAACACATTTTCATCACAAAGCTTAGAGCAGAAGGAATGCACTTTTTCCATAGTCTCTTTTATGGAAAATCACTTGAACATTTTAATCAGTGAAATAAACAAACAATCTATGTTTGACCACTCCTGTAATGAATACTGAAAGGAGAAAAATACCTGTGAGTAGGGGCATGAGGTTAAGCTGCAAAAATGCTATTCCAAATTTCCTTGCAAATGCTGCTTGAGCAGCAGCTTCTTTAGCGAATGATCTACGAGAATTCAGTACAGGTTTTTTTTCAAAGCTAGTTTTCCGTATTGTTTTCCTTCTTTCTGATAACTGGAGCAGAACTGGAAGAGAAGATGGCAGATAAACGAGATAAATACAACATCTGACGAGTCTGGGTAATCCTACTCTGTAATACAGGGTGTTTCAAAATGATGGACATGTTACAATTACACAAAAATTTACAAATAGTTTAATAAGTTACCAAGTAATCAAGTTTTATTAACCACCATCAGCCAGAAACAAATCTAAAATATAACTCTGCAAGTGGAAAATATCTTATTAGGCCTTATGTTATGACTAAGGCTAGGGTTTGGTTATGTGCTGAGAGAGGCACATAAGCAAACCCTATGCTCGTCCTTTCAGGTGGTAATAGTTTCATTCATGGAATGTTTGTAATTGCAGAGATATCGTGATTTCAAATTGGCTCCATCTTTCTGAAATGCTTTGTAGTCAGCCAGAATGGTAGATGATTTGAGCACTGGAATATGACTCTGGAAACCCGGGTTCAAATCCCTGCTCAGCTATGGTAAACCACTGGGAGACCTTGGGCAACTCATCCCAGTGCAAGGCTAGATAAAAGATTCTCTTGGCAAGAGGCACTTTAGTGTCACAATAAGCCAGAAATTTAAAATAAAAGGTTTAACATATTTCAGCATAACATTCAACTTACAAACAACATAGTAAAGAATGGGTGGTGAAACAACAGGAAATGAGTGAAATCTACCCCTCAGAAGGGAAATTCACTCCTGAAAGAGTTATCATGAGAGAAAAGTATCTCAATTGAAGCTTTATCGCCAATCCTTATTTCCACAACAAGCCAATGATGTATGAATCATGAAGTCCCTGTTTTGAATTTTCCATTTTCTACAAACAATGTGTCCTTGGAAGCTCTTTGCACTATTAGTCCTCCATTCTCTCATTTGCAACACACAGAAACATATGGACTTGCAGCGGTACTGTAATGTTATAACTAGCTAAAGTATTTCAAGGGTTCTGAGCACTTGTCTGTCTCCGGAGGAATCTGTACAATGACCAAGTAGCAACAGTAAGAACAGACCATGAAACAACAGACTGGTTCAAGATTAGAAAAGGAGTACAACAAGGCTGTATACTCTCACCTGACCTATTCAACTTGTATGCAAAACACATCATGCAACGTGTGGGGCTTGACGAATCCAAGGCTGGAGTTAAAATTGCTGGAAGAAACATTAAAAACCTTAGATATGCAGAAGATACAACTTTGATGGCTGAAAGCGAGGAGGAACTGAGGAGCCTTCTAACCAAGGTGAAAGAAGAAAGTGCAAAAGCTGGGTTGCAGTTAAACATTAAAAAAATCCAAGATTATGGCAACCAAACTGATTGATAACTGGCAAACAGAGAGAGAAAACATGGAGGCAGGAACAGACTTTGTATTTCTAGGTCTAAAGATTACTGCAGACGCAGAATGCAGCCAGGGAACCAGAAGACGTTTACTTCTTGGGAGAAGAGTAATGACCCATTCTCGATAAAATAGTGAAGATTAGAGGCATCACACTGGCAGTGAAGATCCATAGAGTTAAAGCAATGGTATTCCCCATCGCAACCTATGGAGAGCTGGGCCATAAGGAAGGCTCAGTGAAGGAGATAGACACTTTTTAAACTGTGGTGCTGGAGGAAAATTCTGAGAGTGCCTTGGACCGCAAGAAGATCCAACCAGTCCATACTCCAGGGGAAAAAGCCTGACTACTCACTGGAGGGAAGGATATTAGAAGCAAAGATGAAGTACTTTGGCCAAATAATGATAAAACAAGAAAGCTTGGAGAAGACAACGATGCTGGGGGAAATGGAAAGAAAATGGAAAAGCGGTAGACCAAGGGCAAGATGGATGGATGGTATCCTTGAAGTGACTGGCTTGACTTTGAAGGAGCTGGAGGGTGGCCATGGCCAACAGGGAGCTCTGGTGTGGGCTAGTCCATGAGGTTACGAAGAGTCGGAAGCGACAGAACAAATAAACAACAAGCACTACATAAATATTAGAGTTTTGAAAATATACTTTTTTGAATGATAGTGCCAAAGATACCCCACTCCCACCCTAGTTGCTGAAGAATTCCAAAAGGTGGCATTTAAAAATGTAACTTTTTGTAATAATCACCACCATCTTTCCCCATCTCATTTTTCCTGGGTTTTTTTTGTTTTGTTTTGTTTTTTGTTTTTTGTTTTTTTGCTTTTTATTGCAAGTACTACTATTTGATGGGACAGAGGGAGGAAGAATACGCCATCTTAGACCTCACAGGTAACAACACTTATTGTTTATGTCAGTGGCTCTTTGTTATTCATCTTGGTCAGTAAAGACCTAGAAAGTCAAGCATTTGACCAAGAGTAGCACTTTTTACTCTTTCTCCCCCCCCCCCCTTTTTTTGTTATACATTGTTTATTTTACAGCAGATACATATCATTCAATACAACCTACCATACTTTAACTTTTGGCATCTAGTGTCACTTTTCTGCTTATACATATTATCTAGCCCTCACCACTGTGCTCCCCCGCCCCAAGCCACAGCTTTTACATATCATCTATCCAAAATTTCAATTCTTCTTCTGGAGGTAACTTTCCTTCTTTCTTTTTAAATCCTTTTTCAATAAATTTTCTCCATACATCATCAAAATCACTTTGTTTCCATATATCTCTTTTAACTTTTAATATACATGTCAGCTTATCATTTATTGCATATTTCCATACTTCCTTATACCACTCCTCTATTTGTATATTTATTTCTCTTTTCCAATTCCTTGCTATAAGCAGTCTTGCTATTGTTAATAAGTTTGTTATCACATCTTTATCCTCTTTTTTCAATTGTTTATTATTATAAAATGATAATAAAGCTATACTAGGACTTCTTTCTATTTTAATGTTCATTATACCTTCTATTTCTCTAAATACTTTCCCCCCCAAAATTATTTACATTGCCACCACATATATATATATGTTCCTGATTCTTGGCATCCTCTCCAGCATTTTTTGAGTAGTTTTTATTTATATTTGCTATTCTTATTGGTGTTAGGTACCATTTCCATATTAACTTATAGGAATTTTCTTTAACCTGGATTGATAAATTTTTAGATGTCTGTGTCTCCATAATTGTTGCCACTCTGTTTCATTTATTTTTATCCCTAAATCTTCTTCCCAGACCTCCTTGAGGATGTTGTATTTTGTTTTTCCTTCCTTTATTTCAATTATGATCTTATATACTTTACTAGTTATTCCTTTTAAGTTTTTATGCTCCTCTATAGCTCTTCCATGTTGTATTATTTGTTCGAATTGTTTAAACTTACTTCTGTTTTTATTTTTTTTTACCCAGTTTTAAACCATTGTTCTAATTGTACACAATGGAACCATGTCAATTTTATTTCTCTAAATTCTTCCATAATCATTTCCTTCTTCATTCCAACCTTTATCCAATCCCCTATTTTGTCTAATTGTTTCCTCTTAACTCTATCCTTTACCTTTTAAAAAAAATGGAAATTTCTTTTCCATTATAATTGGGGTTATTATTGAACCATCCTCTATTAACATTCTCCTATATCTATTCCATACTTCTAATATTGACTACATCCTTTGCAGCCAAAGGTGGCGGACATCCATCCAGTCGGTGAAAACAAGACCTGGGGCTGACTGTAGCTCAGATCACGAACTTCTTATTGCTCAATTTAGAATAAAACTAAAGAGATCAGGGAAAATACACAGACCAGTTAGATATGATCTCACTAACATTCCTAGCGAATATACAGTGGAAGTGAAGAACAGATTTGAAGGACTAGATTTAGTAAACAGAGTCCCAGAAGAACTATGGACAGAAGTCCGCGACATTGTTCAGGAGGCGGCAACAAAGTACGTCCCAAAGAAAAAGAA